ATAAGTACCAAGATCTCAGATTGTCAGTCCAGCGCAACAGAGTCCGATGAGTGCACTCGCCAAAACAAGGCCACATGTTGACTTTTTCACTGAACCCTGAACCCTAACCCTGTTGACTTCTTCGCCGAGGCCTCAACCCTCAGCCTTGGTACCACACACTTCCCAGGATCATCAAAGATAAGTACCAAGATCTCAGATTGTCACTCCAGCGCAACAGAGTCCGATGAATGCACTCGCCAAAAGATTTCCACTGTAGAGTTCAGATAGGGCCTCTGCAGAGTCCGAGGGAAAACTGTATGTAACATGTACATATATATATATATCTGTATCGAATACGTCTACATACATATATGTATATATATACATATATATGTATATGTTTTATGTATGTATGTACCTATGCAAGGAAACAAGTGAGATCTAATGTAATATTCAGATCATGTTCTCCTGCGTGTCGCCACGCCACTAAAACTAGGGACTAATTTCACCGCTTCTGTGTCATTGCCTTGACCCCGCGCACGAGCAAATCCAGGGCTACCTAGACGCATGACGTCCTGTGTTTTACAGCACTTCCCGTCTTCCCAACGCATTGGCTTCTAATTCCAGCAAAAAGAAGCACACGATCAATTATCATCCTGCTGCGTCATAAAACAAGTAGTTACCCCGGAATTCTGGCCCTCATGAGTTCGCACCATGAAATGGTCCATGACACGAAAGTGCTGTAAAATACAGTACCAAAGCTACTCATCACCAAGCCCGAAAACACTGCGATCAATTAGCAACGTGGCGCCTACTAGTAGTAGTAGTAGTAGTAGTAGTAGTAGTAGTAGTAGTGAAGTAGTTTGTAGTAAGGAGTAAGTAGTGAGTAGTAAGTAGTAAGTAGTAAGTAGTGAGTAGTAAGTATTAGGAGTAGGAATACTAGTAGTGGCTAGCGGCAGCGTACGTACCAGCAACAGCAGTAGCGGCAGTCCTTCTCAAGGCCGTTTACGTACTCGAGCAGTTTCTCTGCTACCTTGTCCGTGCAGATAGCCGCCGCTGCATCTGCATCATACTTTTCCCTGGAGGATCAAGGTTTAAGGGTGGAGGGTCTACAAACTTTAAGGCTTTGCGGCATTTTGCGGCGCTCTCAAACCTCGGGCCTTAAAACCTCAGGGCTTTCAGCCCCAAATGGTCTTGCCCCAAAATGGTCTTGATTCTTATACAATCACGTTCATATACGTTTTTTTCTTGCTTTGCCACCGTTGTCCATGACCATGGATTCTTTGTCTCTAGTTGTCCTCCTTTGTAACTTTGAATTCATTTGTCAGTTTGTGCTTTGGATCGTCTTCATGCATGTCCATGTGCCTTCTTGACACTCGTTCCGTTGTCTTGGTCAGTCTTTTTCCCGAGTTCGTGCACTTGGTCCACAACGCTTTATCGGCCTACCCCCAAATCGAATCCTGACCAGCCCGAAACTCCATAAACTTTATTTCAGAGGCCCTCGACCCACAGGTCTTTAAACTTCGCGGGGCTTTAGGCATCAGGGCTTAAAGTTTCGGGGCTTAAAGCAAAGGTGACGCGCATGATGCGCGCACATCTTTGTCAAACTGGACCCGACACAATCCTGTTGAATCTGATATACTCCCACTGACTCTTCCTGAATCTTGTTGATTCTTGTTGGTTCTTACTGAATCTTATTGAATCTTATTCTGGTTTTATTGAATGTTATTGAACGTTTGAAAACGTGATCACAAGTGTGGCATGGCACATGCAAGATCTTGTTGCTTTTATACTGGCTCTCACTGAATCTTATTGACATCTTGTTGAATCTCAGAAGGCGTGATTAGAACTTCGACAAGACGCCGGAAAATTCCCAGTATTGCCAATTGCATCGAAGAAATCCCTAAACCCTAAACCCCCAAAGGATCCAAAATTCGCGACCGTTGCACGGCGAACCCCCAGGGGGAGACCCCCTTGGAACGCTCGCCCCCCGGCCTCCGTCCTTCCCACCGAAACCTCTTAAAGTGTAAAAATAGTTGGCAGTCTTTCTCGGGTTGTTACAAAGTCTTGTAAAAGTTCTGAAAAACTACTGTAATACATTGTATACACCTCGCCGCGTCACAATACAATTTCAATTTTTTATGTTTTATGTTTTTTTCGTCCTGGTTGGCATCTACTGTACAAGCGTGGTCTTCACTTGACTTGCTTTGTCAACTGCTGTCTTAAATTACCTTTTTCGCCGAGGTTTGTCTTGACTTGTCTCAGACAAAGCCTTAAGCGCCGAGGGTTAAAGGCCCGAGGTTGGATAGCCTTGCAAAGCCCCCTTGATGAAGAGTCTGATGCGTGCACCAGAGCGCAATCAACACAGACATACCAAGGGGGGGACTCTGTCATCTATTATAGCCGTTCATACCCAGATTAACAAACATTGCGTGTGTCCCACAATGGGTGTATAGTAGTTATACAAAATGCAAAAATGATTCGGATGGAGAGCCTAGGAGCAGACGCAGAGGCAGCCAGTCCAGGACCAGCCCATCTTTGCTGAACTCTTTGGCAAAATGTGCCAGCTTCCCAGCCGTGCAACAGCCTTCCTTCTTTCTCTCATTGTGCTGGTCTGGCGTGGCATTTGGCCAGGCGTCATACCTGGAAAGTCAGATTGCACGAGGCCGCCATGATTCTATCAGAGACCCAAAACTGTCAAGCAGTTTTCCGTTTAACATTTCGGGTGAAGGATGTAGAGTGGAGCCTGCGGGATCCAAAACTGAAGTCAGACAAGACTACATGAATGAAGCTTGAACTCTGAAAGACCAAACCCTAAACCCTAAATAACAGGGCATGTGCGAAATATGCTATCCCGGCTAGAACCGTCAGGATTTGGGAAGCGAAAACTCCGACACCAAACACCCTACTTGGAGGTTCATGGGTAGTTAGAATAAGTCGGGTTATAAGTCCCCTAATATGGGGTTGTAAGTATTAGTTACCGTACTTATAAACCCCACTTATAACTACCCATGAACCTCCAAGTAGACGCTAAACCCTAAACCTAAACCTAAACCTCCAAGTAATGAGTTTCTTAATGCAGACCCAGACTCGGGCTCTGGTGCAGGATGCGCACAACCTTCAGAGGTTTAGGGTTTAAAGTAGTTCCTTTTTGTGGTTTATATTTAGGAGGCCTATCAGGTAATCCACAAAAGGAGCGACTATGGAGCCCATGGGTAAGACTTATACTTCACAGGGCTTTGGGTTTAGCTCCCCAGGCACTGAATTTCGGGCTTGGGGCCCGAAATGCGAGAGTTTGGGGGTCTTCAGCACTGTTTAGAACCACGGCAGCTTCGGGAAAAGGCGGGTTCCGGGTAGGTTGCAGGGATCTGCTGTTGGGAGCTGCACATAGGCTTAGGGGGTGGCAGATCATTGGCCTTAATTAAGACTAAGGTGACCTAGAGGTAAGTCCTAAACCTTAAACCCTAAACCCTCAAGCCCAAAAAACTCCAAAAAAATCCATGCTGACGTCTTTGAGGTCTCGAAAAAATAGAAGGTTCGGGAGTTTAGGGCTCTAGGGTCTGGAGGTTGAGGGCTTTAGGAGATTAGGGTTTAGGGACGTGCCGGGGTTTAGGAGTTTAGGGTTTCGGGTCGGGTTTAGAGAGTTTAGGGCCTAGGGAGTTGAGGGGTTCAGGAGTGTAGGATTTAGGGTTTAGGATTTCAAGGGTTCAGGATTTAGGACTTAGGGTTTAGGATTTAGGGTTTATAGGGTTTAGAGAATAGTCCCAGCGACTTTAAGGCCATACCGGACTGTCGGCTTGATTCCCTCCAAGGTTTTTGCCTCGGTGAGATGTGGAGTTTAAAGTGGCAGGTTTGGGTTTATTCTTTTAGGGCTTGGGTGCTTTTTAGGTTTGGGTTGAATTTAAAGGGCTTGGCCGTGTTCGGTTTGGGTTTTATGTTAAGGCTTGGCCTCTTTTTGTTTTGGGTTTAGAGTTCCGGGCTTACGGGGACTGTTGGGGTTTAGGGTTTAGGGCTTAAGGTTATGTGTTCGTATTCTGTGATGTTCCTATGAGCTCTTGGCTTTACAAGCGTGCAAAGAACGGAGTGCTACGGGCCTCTCTCTTGTGAATATCACTGGTGCTAGCTGGTGTTCTTGGTATTCCATTCTTAGGGCATTTAAACCAAGTCAGGGCATCGGGAAACATTGGGTGTAGGTTTCTGGTGTGGGTGTCCAGGCTTCTCGAACTTTGGGGCTTGGTTCGCAGTGAAGCCCAAGTAATACCGTCCCTGAGAGAAACTGCGGACGATGACATTTGATGCTGAAGCTCCCATGTAAAGTGCAGATGCAGGCCCGCAGCAGTCTTCACGCCCCTGTCTGGTGCGTTACTTATGAGTACAGACTCACTGACAGCAGAGGAGATAGACAAGAAGACAGCTGCAGAACCTTGTGCTGCGACTGTTGCTCTTGGAAATGTTGTCTAATTAGTTCACGCACAGATCCAAAGCCTGCGAGAGGAAGATTTGAACGCTGGCTTTCCCCAATTGTAGAGAAGTGAGGTTTCACGGCGGAGAAGCCCTCATAGCAAAATGGCTTTGGCTTCGGGGGGAATGCTGCCTTCGTGTGCCCTTGATGCAGCTTCGTCGTCACAGGCCGCATCAGCTTTAAAGACCGTCTACCATGACAAAATAAGATACCTCCAAACCCCATTCTATTCTTTAAGCCCTATATGGCACGCCTGGGTCTGGCTTAGATGGTTTAGGATCTATGGTGG